CACATATACACCCCCATCCACCCCCCACACATCACACCCACCACACATCCCCTCCCACACCATACACCCCCACATACCGCACCCCCCCACACACTCACTCCCCTCCCTCCCTCCCCTGTCTCAGAGCTCTGAATTTGACTTCCAAGGACCGAGGTTGGAATCCTGACTATGGACAGTGACTTGACCTCTGGGCTCCACTTCCTCCCCTTTGTCCTAGTAGGGCCCCACCTCCCTCTCACCCTAAATCCTAACCAGCCGGTGGGGTCTCTCCTGCTCCAATCCCCCTCCCACCCACCTGCTGTGAGGGCAGACCTGCCCGCGTCTCTCTCCCTCCAGCGTCCGCGATGAACTCTCGGCAACTTGTTCACGGCCTGGTCCAGGGGTGCGGAACCTGCAGCCGTGAGGCCACATGTGGCCCTCTAGGTCTTCAAGTGTGGCCCTTCACAGAACAAATCCCCTTCATGAAAGGATTTGTTCTGTACAACTTGTGACTTGGTCAAAAGGCTGCACCCAAGGACCTAGAGGGCCACACGTGGCCTCGAGGCCACAGGCTCCCCAGCCCTGATCCTGGTCTCTTTCAAGCCTCCTGGCACCCAAACACACACACCACCATCTCCTGCCTCCAGGCCTTTGCCCCAGCAGTCCCCCCACGCTTGGAGCACCCTCCCTCTTCACCTCTGTCTGCTAGAATCCCTTCCTTCCTTCACGACCCGGCACGAGAGACACCTTCCACACAGAGATGGTCCCCAACCTCCCAGACGCTCGTTACCTCGCCCCACAACCACCTTATGCTGAACCGTACTTATGCTACGTAGACATAAATATTCGCTTTTCGGTCTCACGCACAGAAGGCCCCTCGAGAACAGAGACTTTCATTCCTTGAATCCATCCCTTGTACACAGCAGGCACTTGATAAATGCACGCTGACTGGCTGAGCAGTGAGTGCCTTCAGAAACGCAAACCGCCAAGCATCACCCCAAGCGATGAGATTCAGAACGAGGTCTGATCACGACAGCAGTGACGCTGCCCACAGTTAGTTAAGAAACAAACACTCTCCCAAGAAGGCGGCGTGTCTCACACAGGCCTTGAGAGAAACAGCGAGACTCTTCTCAGGAAATCTCTGCCAAAAATAAGCTAGACAGAGAAATCGAGCCAATAGCACAATCACGGGCAAACTGGCCCAGCGCGTTCATGTAGGGAGCAGCCAGGGGCACGGCGGGGGACACCAGCCTGGCGCGAGCCAGGGCAGGTGGCCCTGCGGCCCTGGGCAGTACCGTCAGCTTCCGCCACCCCAGTGCCGGGACGTGGAGCAGGAGAGGACGGGCAACATTTCACAAGGTAAGACGCGGAGGTGACGTGCACTCACTGCGCAGAAAGAAGGGCCTTGCTGGGGCACCGATGGATTTTTAACCATCCAGACAGATCATTCTGTTTGTTGTGACACGGAATCAGCCGTCCCACACCGCCAGGACGGGCCGCCGCAGTCACGGGCACGCGCTAGCCTCGAGATGTCACAAGGGTCACAGAGACAACAGAGAAACAGAATGACGTCTCTTACCGTCGCCGACGCTTGACGCCATACTGCCCGAGTCTCTCACTTCATCAAACTTGGCAAACACTGCCTGTAACCTGGAAAGAAAGAAGGAAAGGCATTTGATCCTGACCCATAAATTAACGCATGGCTCTACCTCCTCAAACACATACACATACATACATGTGCGCGTGTGTGTGTGTACATAAATATCATGGGGGCAGCCGGGTGGCGCAGTGGATAGAGCACCGGCCCTGGAGTCAGGAGGACCTGAGTTCAAGTCTGGCCCCAGACACATAACATTCACTAGCCCTGGGCAAGTCACTTAACCCCAACTGCCTCACTAAATAAATAAATAAATAAATAGAACAGAACAGAATAGACTAAAAACATATAAATATATATATGAGACACACAAATAATGCACATATATGGACTGACATACACACGGATGGCTATTTCAAACCAGTTAGCTCGTTTAAAAAAAAAACAAAACTCCCGCTTACCTCCCATCTCACCCCCATAACAAGAAACCCCTTAACACTTCTCTGCCTCCGGCAGCCTCTTAGAGACTGAAAAGGCGAACAATCAAACACAGCTATCCCACTGCATTTTTCTAAAGAACATAAATGAGGGCGGGGAGGGACAAGGGGAAAGGGCTATTTGGCCAACGAGGGGATCCCTCTGGGGGTGACCACTTCCCCCTTCGGTCTCCGAGATTTGTCTGGGCCGATGAAAGGGAAAGTGTCTAATCAGACCCCACGCCTAGAGCTGGAGAAGACCACAGAATACAATTCCCTCCCTTTCAAGATGAGGAAACTGAGGCCCAGGATGACCCCCTTCCCTAACCCACAGAGGGGAAGGATTTGAACCCTGGTAGGCCTAAGTCTCCAGAAGATGAAGCTGTCTCTGCCCAAGGAAGTGTTGGAGGGCAGCCTTGATCTGCCATGTTCCTGACTCCAAGGCCAAACGGCTCTCAGTCTCTGCCTCTGTGGAGACCAGATGTCCGGCCTATCCCAAGCCCTGGGCATATATATCACAGGCCCGTCGTGGAAATGGACCGGGCACGTGGCTAGTGGCTAAACCACGCACCTCCCCCCCTTGTTTCATAGGAAAATCAACAGCTGGAGTTGACATTCTGAACAGCAGGGAAACTGAGGCCTATAATGAGGTGAAGTGACCTTCTCTCCCTCTTTTGGCTGTAGGGGCAAGGGACGATAGGCACAGTGTCCAGCATGGTGCCAAACACCTAGTAAATAATGGGTGAACTGAATGGAATTCCTCAAAAGTTGGCTAGAAGGCAGAAGTCGATAAGAAATCCAGTTTTTCTACTGACCTCCTCAATAAAACCGTTACACAGCATGAAGGTGAAACAGTTAGAAGGAAGCCTCTCCTGCCTTCAGGGAGCTGACCTTCAAATGGGGGGAAGGCAGAGTCGGGACAGAGGTACCCCCAGGGCCTGTCCCGCAGCCAGCCCGTGCCCGGCCCCTTCCGCTGGACGTCGGCTCCTTCGGTGTCTGGCTGCCGAGGCTGGCTCTCCCGACGTGGCCCAGGCTAGACACAGACCCCCCACCCTGGGGCCAGGCCTTCCCCCACCTTCTCCTGCACGCAGGCACCCTGGCTCCCAGGGCACGCCCCCATGCCCCACGCTCTCCAGGTTGTTTCCTGGGGGGATACTCCTTGTTGTACTTTTGGTAAAGACGAGGTGACTCGAAAGATGTCTGCTGAGGAGAACCGGCCAAAAACTGATGATGTGTGTGAAAAGCCACACCCCCCCAGCCGAGCCGTCTGGCAGAGCCAACTGCGATCCTGAGCCCAGGAGGTGTCTGCTGCCTCTGGCCTCGGGGGGGGGGGCCACCTGCCACGGACCCTCAATGCACTCACAAGCACGCTGCTGCCAGTCTGAATCTCCTCTGCATACACTGGGTGCATAATTGTATCACAAGACAGGCTGGTTTTCATGATGCTGCTTCATCAACACCAAACATCAAAAAACAACGTTTCCGACTGCCTGTGAGCCCCACAGAACCGGATCTCATGAGCTCCTTCGATGTCCCCCAAAGAGCTGGCGGGAGCTCCCCTCTCCCTCAGCTGGCACGTCCTGCTGGTCCATGGAGGCTAAGACTGAGCGAGCTCTTCAGGGCGCCAACAGCTGGGTTCAGGCTCTCAGTGCCCTCTGCCCCCATGCCCACGCCTGCAGCAACCCGAGAGGCAGCAGGAAGGATGCCAAGGTCACGCGGTGGGGGGCCCTCTCTGGTCCTCCTTCTAAGGCGAGCACTATCCCCGGGCAGAGCATGGCTGTATCGCTCTCGTGCTCGGTCCTGTGACCAGTTGTCTCTAGGACCCGTCCATCTCTTCCATCCTGCCTCCGAACACCGTTCTTTCTGTGGGAGGCAGGCTGCCCAGTGCACGACCTCGCACCTCCACAGATCCCACGGTGCCCCCTGGCTACCCCAGGTCAGGTCCCTATGGCAAGGAAGGCAGCCCAGCCCAGCGGGTACAGGGCTGGGCTTGGGTTCTAATCCCATTTCGGACACAGACGCTGACCGGCCGTGGAGCGCTTTGTTTTCCTAACCCACAAGAGGCAAAGGGGGTGGACATGACGGCCGCTCCATCTCCAAGGTCCCCATGGCTCCTGCCTGACTTCTCGTAAGTGACCCCCCCTTGTGGCACCTGACACGGTCGTGCGTGCACTTCCTCCATTTCTCCCAAAGCTCAGCTCCCTCGCCCCCTTATCAGGACTCTGCCTGAACCCCCTCCCTCTCGCCCACCAACGCAGACACCCGCGCACACCTCTCGGCTCCCCAGAAGAACAGGAGCTCACACAGGCCAGGGTCCCCTCGGCTTCCGCGTGTGTCTCCCCTGACCCTCCTTACCAATCGTCCACAGGCCGGGCCTCGGGCAGAGGGAGCCGAGTCTGGAGGTCGGCATCCCCGGGGATGGAGGAGATACCATCATGCCTCCTTCCTTCCCGCCCTGGGCTTCAGTGGACGCTCCAGGCCCCCGTGGGCACACCTGCGCACCTCTCTCCCTGCCGAGGTGTGCTGACACAGCCATGCCAGGTGACAGGACAGGAGCCTGAGAGACAGGAGGGGTTGAAAACGTCCCCGTGGCGCTTACCGGGCAACGGGGAGGCCTCTCCTGCTGAGGTCCGCTCTGACTTTCTCTCCCACATGGCGGTAGACCTCCACCATGGCCAATATTGCAGCATCCCTCACCTGCCAAAGGAATTGAGAGATGAAGCTGATTGAGATACTCGCTATTGCTGTCTCACAAGCACACACAAGCACCCTGGGTCATGTGTCAAGATGCTTTGACGTTAAGAACCCCATAGGGGCTTTTGTGCCTGAACCAAGACTGAATGCCCACGACGCACAAGACGCAGCCCCGGCCTCACCTTCGGGAAGCCTGGCAGGGTCACGTCCAGGCATCCCACATCACCTCCTCCTTGGGCACTCGCACCCAGTGCCCTGGGTGTCCCCACTGCTGGAACATGGAGAAGACAGAAGCCACCTCCCGCTGGGGCCAGTCCCTCTCTAGCCCACTGGTCCCTGCGGATCCCTGGGATCCACACCTCCACAAGAGAACCTTGAGGCCCAAGGGGCTCCCAGGCAGGCTCTGGAAAATACTGCCACAGGGGTCTGGGAAGCAGGACAAGCTTCCGTCCAGCCATCCCCTCCTGCCATCCCCTCCTGCGCTAGTCAGGACCAGAGGAGAGAGAAGCAGCCGCACCTGAACCCCCAGGGCATGGATAGGCCATGTGGGTTTGGGCCTGCCTAGCCAGGCAGCCCCAGGCGACGGCCTCAGGCCTCGAAGGCCCTCCCTGCTGAGGTTAGCTTCTCCCACCAAGCGCAAGCCAAGCTCTTGGGGGACCTCGGGTCCAAGAACAAAGACTCTGAGAGCTGAAAGGGAGCGCCAAGACCACCAAGCCTGGGCCCCACTGGCCAAGGGCTCTGGTAGAGGGAGGGCTGGAGCTGCAGTCCTAGGGCCGTCCACTAACGCTGGGGGATCTGACAACTGCCCCAGGACGCTGATGTAAGAGCAGTGCCAGGAAAGCTCTCCCCAACACAAGATCCTCACCAGATCCCCCAGGACTGCCGACGTGGCAGGGCCAGCGCTACCCGCTTGTTAAGGGCCAGCCAGGCCTGAGCTCAGCCCGAGGGTGCCTCATCACGCTCTGGACACACTGGATGCATGCAATTTTTGACCCCCAAAGGATGACTGGACACTGCATTTGTTAAATTCCCTTCAAAGATACAAACGAAGGCTCTAGTTGCTGAATTCCCTCCTGGAGCCTGGCCATGCCATCTTTCCTGACCTACTATTTTCTGCCAATCTGAGAAGCGGGCGCCCACATGGGAACAGTCAGTAAAAACAAGCAAGGGCACCAATGCCTGGGGCCTCCAGTGGAGACCGCCAAGTACTAATGATTCTCGTGAGCCAAGTGCATCCACCATCCCCGCCAGTCTACCACATGGGCCTGTGCTCTCTGTCAGCTGGGGTCCCCAGGGTCTTCCTTCTTTGCCCAGATACCACCAGGGGACGAGTAGGACAACGGACCCTCCACCTGTCACCAATCACTCTCACCATGGGATCAGCCCGTACCAAACTCATAACAAAGTAAACTTCTGCACATCAGAGTCTGTGGGTCAGTCAATGACCAATCATTAGCCACTGGAGTGAAAAGGGAGGGCAAAAAACCAGTCCCTGCCTTCAAGGAGCTGCCAGTCTAACATGCAAACAGCGATGTCTACACAGGTACAAAGCGAGTAAGAGGGAGTCATCACGAGAGAGAAGGGCAGCGGGCCAGGACGCAGGCTGGGACGCGAGCGGGGACGTGGGGGAAGGCAGGGAAGGCAGGAGGCAAAGGTGAGGAGGAAGTGTGTACCAGGCACGGGAGACTGCCAGGGGAAATGCTCGGACACAAGGCTGGCGTCACTGGACCCCAACATCCTGGGGAGATCGGGAAGGACACCAAATGCTGAAGAGAGGATTTGGGATCTGAACCTGGAAGTGACAAGGAGCTGCTAGAGTTACTGAGCAGGAGTCGTGCGTGTCGGTGGATGAACAGAGGACGAACTGGAGAGGCAGCAGACCCCTCTGCAGGTGATGGCCACAGTCCAGGCATGAGGTGACGGGCCTGCACCACGCCAAGGACAGGGTCAGAAGAGAGAAGAGGCGTCTCAGGGAGACACTGCTGAGTGACCTCGACGGCCCTGGGCACCATCTTGGATCTTGGGGGTGAGAGTGAGGAGTCTGGCAATATCCCTAGGTTGTGGGCCTGAGGGACTGGGGGGATGGGGATGCCAGGGGAAAGGTGATGAGCTCTGCATGGGACGTGTAGAGTGCAAGCCGTCGACCGCACATCCAGCTTGAGAGGTCCGAGAGGCAGTGGGAAATGCGTGACCGGAGGCCATCAGAGGTTGGGTTAGGAAAGGAAGATCCGAGGCATCAGCAAAGAGACGGCCACTGAATCCACGGGGAGTGACGAGACCACCAAGTGAAGGAGTACAGAAGAAGAGAGGAAGGCCAGGACAGAAGCCACAGGACGCTGAGGGCAAGAGGCGGCAGCTGGAAGACGGTCCGGCCAAGGAGGGGCAGTCAGACAGGGAGGAGGACAAGGCCGTCAGGAACACCGGGAAAAAACGGATGTAAAGGAGGAGGGGGGGGAAGCCGCATCAAAGGCTGCAGACGCGCACGAGGCCGCGGCATTGGCCATCGAGAGCTCATGGTGACTTTGGAGAGAGCAGCTGAGCTGAACCGTGAGCAGAAGCCGGAGTGAGAGGAAAGGCAGTGCGGGCCCAAGCGTAGACGGCCACAGAAAGGGAAGCGAGACACGGGATCGCAGCTCGCAGGGATGGAAGGCTCAAGGGAGGGTTTTCTCAGGATGGAGAAGTCGGGCACGATCACAGGCAGCGAGGAAGCAGCCAGCAGACAGAGAGAGGCTGAAAACGAGCGACAGGGCAGACGGGGCGGACCAGGGTTGGCCGTGCCACCTCTTCACGGGAGACGGGTCTCCCTTTTTTCTGTGAAATAGGAGACTGGGTCTCAGCTGAGGGGGAGGTCGGGGGAAGGATGAGGAGGTCTGGAAGAGCCACCAGGATGCAGGAGAGGAAGTCAATAGGAATGCTTTCAGGTCCGTACTTGAAACCGCTCCAGTTTGGTGGAACCTGCCAATCCGACTGGATTCAACTCACTTCGATGAGGCAAGCCGGACAGGAGGCAGCTCGGTGCCAGCCAAGTTCATGACGCTGCCTGCCTCAGTTTCCTCCCCCGACCTGGATCAGAGGAGATCCTCTCCTGATGGAGTCCTTCCTTAGGAATGGAAGCCAAAGCACAGAGAGGCCGTCGTGTGCAGCCGAAGCCGGAGCCAAAGCTAAAGCATGCCATGTTCCAGCAACACGAACATGACCCTCACGTCGCCCTCCCGGGGAGTAAGCCATGAGACAAGGAGCAGCCCCTCCCCCTCCCCAGGAGCAGCCGCCAGGCTCGGGGAGCCAGAACCAGCCCTTCCGTGTCCACACCCGCATCTAACAGAGCCCTCAGCAAGGCTGGGAAATGCCACTGACTCAAAGAAGTCACGGGAACTGCCCCCAATGCCCCCTGTGAACACAACCCCATTCCTTACCTGACCGTTGGAATCTCCACATAAGATGCACAAATGTGGCACCAACTTGCTGAGGACTAGCGAGTGTGCACCATAGCTTTAAAACAAAAGGGGAGGGGGAGAAAGAGCTTAGTCCAACCACAGCAGGCGCCCAGTCAGCTTAGCGCCACGCCCGCTCCCTCTGACTCCGTTCTGAGGGGAATGGCAGAAAGACGGGCAGAGGCCATGCGGAATCACAGGTGCCGCACGCAACAAAGAAAGGAGCGATCACACTCATAATCATCTTGGGAATGTAAAGTTTTAGAAAAAGCCGCCCGGGCACCAGGAAGGCTGCCGAGCCCCTGAGCTAGACCTGAGCCGGTGTCCCCCGCGAGGCAGCGCCACCCACTGAGGTCACCGGGCTCTGGGGAGGAGCCTATGGCGAGAGCATCCTTAATGCCACTGCCTTTTGCTTTTAAAATCAACATGTCCTGACGCTGCTGACATACGCCCTCCCGCCCCTGATGCAGGTGCGTGCCCGACAACAGAGGTGTGGGCGGGGCAGGGGGGGGTCACACACACAGAGGAAGACAGAAGGCAGAGACCTGCCACAGGAAGAGGAGTGAGAGGAGGCAAGCTCACCTGAGACCCCGGAGCAAAACAGAAAGAAAGGGGAACTGGCCCCAGAGCCAGACCCAAGAGAACTTTGAAATGAGCAAAGCAGAGATGTCACAAATGTTTGAAATGACTCCAAAACAATTCCACGGGCTCAAGGGCCAGAACCAACAGAGAGAGCAAAGGGAAGCAGAGAAAAGTGCCCGAAGGGCCGTCCTCTAAGACACTCTGCGGAAGTCAAGGACTGGCCACGCGGACAAGGGAGAGAAGGCAGAGAAGGGCAGGAGGGCAAGAGCCTGGAGAATGGGCAGCGTCTGAGAGAGGGAGAACTGACTGCTACCCCCAAGAAGTAAACTCGTCCAGCTGACAGGGTCTCAGAGACAGTCCTGAGCTCAGTGCTGGCCATCGATGACCACTAAGGACCATCTCCGAGAGCCTGTGGGCGGCCCCGCTGGCCAGGAACACCAAGCCTCCCTCCTCTCAAGGCCCATAGGAATCAGCAGGAAGCCTGCAGGGTGCACGCCAGGGATGACAGAACACACTCCCCAGGACGCTGAGGCCATCTGAAAAGAGCATTTCTGTGCCCAAGGCCAAGTCTCCCCCAGCCAGTAGAAGACCTAAAATCTCCGCACGCCCCAGAAGCCTCTCTGGAGCGAGTGCTAACCGTCACTGGTTCAAAACGGAGCTGTGTCTCCGATCCCCATGAAAACACATCATTTCTGCAGCTTCAAAAACCAAGGTGGGGATGGGAGGTGGGGGGAAGGAGGCAACATTGCATTCTTAAATTCTTCCGCTTACGTGTTTAAGGTGGCAATAAGACACAGACAGACACCTTCTCGGGACCGATAGTTCTTGTGTTTAAAACCAACAGTCAAGAGCTCCCAAACATACTGGTAGGAAAAAGAGAGAGAAGAATCGTGAATTACTGAAAACAAAACCGTCTCTACCATTCCTTCAGTCGGAACTGCTTGTCTGACTTGGCTAACCTCGTTACCAGCCAGCCCCGGAACAGATTTTCTCCTCCCCTACTTCTCTAACACATCTCTGAGCCACAGATACAGGACCCTGTGTCTTCATCTACTTAACTGACCCCTGATTTTAGATTCTCCTCCTGTGTGCCGCCCCTCCCTCAGAAACACCCGACACGTTCCCAACGCTCTCTCTAAGGGCCGAGAGTCAGCGGCCCCAGAAAGGCCTACACGCAGGGCCCTGGATGAACGCATCTGACTGTCTTTCCCTTGCAACGCAGCCAAAAGACTCACTGCGGTGCAGGAAGCATTTTGCCAGGTCAGTGTTGCCTGGCAATGGCTGCAAGGCGACAGGAACGGGCCTGGCCATCCCTCATCACCAACACAGGGATCTCTGTTAGACTCCTGGGTCAGCAAACGGCGGACTTCCTCACGGTTTTCTTTCTGACAAAGTTCACTAGACATTTAGACATTATAACTAAGCAATGGTCAAAAACAGGCCCCCAACAGAGGAGAAAGCCAGTTTCTGAAGGGATTAAGTCCTCTCATTTTTCACAGCTCCTTTATTTGTACCCACCCACATCCACACACACGCATGCACATGCACGCACATACCACATATACACACACACCCATGCACACACTCACACCCACAGGCACACATACACAGACTCACACACATACCCATACACCCATAAACACACACCCCCCCACACACAAACACACTCATGCACACACACATGCACAAGTACACATACCCCACCTACCCAAACACTCCCACACATGCGCATGTACACCCACATCCATACATGCATGCGCACACACACACATTTGTACCCACTCACACCCATACAAATACACCTATGCAGACCCATACATCCACAAATACACACACACCCACGCACACCCCCCACATATGCACACACACACACATACCCACTCAAGCACACATACCCACACACACCCATGCACACAAACACACCCATGCAAATACACATGCACACCCACACCCACAAACACATCCATACACACACACACCTGCACGCATACACCCACACCCACACGGCGCAAACAGTTCCTGTATCCATGAAACATAAGGTTCTGCCATAGTGTATTTTTTTTTTTTTGCTTTTTGGTGAGGCAATTGGGGTTAAGTAACCTGCCCAGTGTCACACAGCTAATAAGTGTCAAGTGTCTAAGGCTGGATCTGAACTCAGGTCCTCCTGACTCCAAGGCAGGATCTTTATCCACTGTGCCACCTAGCTGCCCCTATAGAGCATATTTTTAAAATAACTAATTGGCACATAGCCAGAGGCCTGTCTTAGCGATACTTTTTTCCAACTATCACAGAATTCATTTTCATAATTAAGATATTCACAAAGTCTCAAAATAAACTTTCATACTGAATTTTTTCATGACTGTCGGTAATGAGAAGGAGATGGTCAAAGTATCGTGAAGATCACAGTCAGGTTATCTGACCAGCTAGAAAGCCACCCAGACTGGGGCCAGAAGCCAAAGGAAAGGCTGGTCTGGAGCAGATCCCTCCCTGGACCCGTGCCCTGGGGAAGCCTCCCACACGCCTTCAAAGGACACACTACTCTGCAGCCACAAGTGGGTGAAAACAGAGAGGCTGCTTTTCCCCACCCAAATCTAGCCCCATGAGTCCTTAATCTAACCTGAAACGCTCAAGGGGACAGAAAAGCCAGCAAGTGAACACCGAAGGGGTCGCCACATCATTTTGCAGTGTTTCTGGAAGTTCAGCGCGTGACTTGTGCTTTTTATCTGCTCTGAAAAACCACGGTGGTCTATTTAAATAGTGCCTAGTCCGCACCTGGCACCATGATGAGCACTTTACAACCAGGATCCTACTGCAGCCTCTCCACAATCCAGGGTGAAGGCTGGGTGCTGTTATCATCCCCATCTTCCAGATGAGGAGACTGAGGCAGACTGAGGGTCACCAGGCTACTAAGATCCTGAGGCCAGATCTGCGCTCACTGACTGAGCCAAGAACTTTGTCAGTCCGCAGGTTTTCCGCCCCCTCCACCTAAGCACACCGTCCTCCTAGGAAGGAAGCCTACCATGGGCGAAGCGGCGTGACCAATGATCTTCAAGATCAGATTCTGCGCCTGGTCTCGGACCTGGTCTTTGGAATCTCCCAGCCGATCTAGTAAAGCTGAAATAACTAGAGAAAGCAAAAGAATTAAAGAGAGCGAATGACAAGCACAGAGTAACTAGCCGGTGGGATTTTAGAGATGCGTGCTGGCGCTTACACAGCACCTACTTTGTGCTGGGCCCTGTGCTGACAGCTCTATCATCATTATCTCACTGAATCCTCACGACCCCCTGGGAGGGGGCGCGACTCCTGATCCCCATCCTCCTTCTCCAGAGAAGGAGACCGACATAGGCAGAGGTTCAGTGACATGCTCGGACTCCAGGCCCCCGCTGCCCCAAGCGTGCTTGGGGTGCCCCAAGCACCCCAAGGGTGCTCCTCCACACCCTTCACTGGTGCTTTCAGGGGGAGAAGGGAAGGATGACCAGAGCTGAGCACTCCAGATTGGAGCCTGCCAGGTAACCACCAAAGCTGCAACGTAAGGGGACAGGGACAGGCACCGAACCCGGGACTTGACTGGTGGGCCAAGAGGTACCCTCCCCTCAGGTAGGATCGGACCCCAGAGCTTTGACGTAATACGTCAAAAATAAACTTCACGTGTTCCTGCAATCTACGTAGTACAGTTATTGCTTCCCAGAGCACACGGAAAAACAGGATATCAAGCTGGTGGGAACCTCAAGGGGCATCCAGAGTGACACTGAGACCCCTAAAGACAGCCTGCCCATCGCCTCCGGAGCCAGTCCTCTGCAGCTGGGCACAGCGGCTAACAAGACCAGACAGGCCGAGGCCCAAGGAAGGGATGTGAAGGACTGCCCAAAGTCAGAGGCAGATTTTCAGCAGAGACAGGATGGGAGGCCATGCCCTCTCCTTCTGATCCCGGCCACTCTGGAAGCTTCTCCCGACCTCGTCCCTCGCCTGGCCTCCCCCACCAGACGGCCCTCCCACCCTCGGCAACCCAATGACAACGTCCACGTCCTGGCTTCCCTCACGCTGAGCCGCAATCCCGCCTTCCTCAGGTGGTCTCAGCGGCCCCGTGATCAGGTGCCTCCCACTGACCCTGTGTCTTATCTTGTGTGTAAGCAGCTGTTGCTACGTCATCTCCCCAACAGGAATGTAAGCTTTGTGAGGGCAGGGCCAGTGGGTCCCGGGATCGGACCGGGCTCGCTGAAACGTTTGCTAATCATCTGGCTGAACGCCGTGCCTCGGTGGAGACAGGGGGAGGCTGGGAGCTGGAGTAGGAGCCTTCAGACACAGAGGAGAACCAGAAGGGAACGGCATCACAGGACACAAGCAGAGAGCGACTGACAGCGTCCAAGCTGCAGAGGTCGAGAGGGACAGCCGGCTACGACACCTGGGCAAAGCCACTTCAGGTGAATGATGAAGGTAGAAGCCCAAGAAGGGGTGGGGAAGGCCTCCTCGGGGTCAGCCGCCCGGAGCCCCGCTGCTGGGGCCGGGGGGCCATCAGCAGACAGGAGACGCCGAGGATGACTGAGGGCTTTGCGCTGGAGAGAACACGGTGCAGCGGGACCACTTCATGGGAGATGGGGAAGGAGAAGATGGCGAGAGACACCCGAGCAGCTGTGAAGAGGGGCAGATTGAATCCCTTAACGGAGGCCTGTAATGCCCTGAGGCACTAAGGCCTCCTGATTTTCTCCAGCCCGGTCAGTGGATAGAGGGATAGAGGGAGGAATCCAAAGGATGAGACGGCGAGGGGTGGACCGGAGGGAAGTGAAGGGAGGGCAGCCAGTGGACAGGTGATGGCCAGGAAGGAACCAGAGGGTCGGGGGCTGGCGGGGGCATAAGACAGAGGGAAAGACGACACTGTAAAAAGCAATGATCCCATCAAGGAATTTCTGAGTGGGACAGGGCTAGATGCAAGGGGTGACCATCTCTGGGTGCACCTGAGGTCAGGTACTCCCAGTACAGGGAGACTGTGAGGGTGGCAGCAAACTCCTGGGGAAGGAAGGGGCTGACCTGGAGGTCAGCACGCAACAGCTACCAGAGTCTCGAGTGGGGGGGTAGACACGGACTGAGTGACCCTCCGAGGAGGAGGGGGTGCGGGTGGCAGGGGGAGCCAGGACGATTCTGACTCTCCTCTCCTGACCACTGAGCTCAGTGTAGCTAGGGAAGGAGGAAGGGAGGCCAGGGGGCTGAGTCCTGGGGAGGAGTCAGAGAAGAAAAGGGTTAAGATGGAGGTCCGCCTGTGCCCAGGCCCAGCTGAGCATTCTCTCCAGAAAAATGCGCGCCTGGACCAGGTGACTTCCGCCCACTCAGACATGCACCATGGCAGCCACACAGACTCACCATCTGTGGCCCTCACACAACATTCCCATACCTGCACCTCCAGGCGATCCTCCATTCTGGGGACGCCCCTTCTCCTCCCACCTCCTGCGTCTCCCTCATGGTTCTACCGGCTTAAATGCACCTTCCGAGCCCCAATGCTAAGCTCTTTCTTGACCTCATCAGCTGTGGGGGAGATCCCCAGGCAAAACTACTTCGAATTGGCTTTGAATCACATTCTGTGCTTGTCAATCAAAGAACACACAGGAAGCATTTACTATGTCCCAGGCAACAAGCCATGTGCGGAGGATGCAAAGACAGAAAAGGAATCCTGTCAGCCCAGAGGAGTCTGCACTTCATTGATGCTCCCTATAGAAGTGGGTACCTGAAGGAAGCCAGGGAACCCTGGAGGCGGCGATGGGGAGGGAGAGAGCCCCCAAAGCCGAGAGATGGAGGGGCTTGTCTGTGGCACAGCCAGGAGGCCGGGGCCCTGGATGGGCAAGTAAGGGGCAAAAAGGCTGGGGTTGGGGCGGGGTGGCCAGGGCGAGGTGACAAGGGCTCTGAATACCAAGCAGAGCATTTGGGATTGGATCCTGGAGGTGATGGCGAGCTGCTGGGGTTTACTAAGTAGAGGGTGACGTGACCAAACCTGTTGGATTTTAGAAAAATTACTGGTGGCTGAACTGAGGATGGACTGGAACAGTGAGACGGCTGGGGCAAGCAGACCCCCAGCAAGCTAAAGCACATAATGTAGGTGTGAAGGGCTGCGGGTCTGCCCCCATGCAGGGGCAGGGTCAGATGAGAAAAGGGTGCTAGGATAATAACAGGTATAGTGTATACAGACTCAGGGCTATGTCTATGTGTGCGGGGGCATGGATGGATGTGTGTATGGACATATGTGTTTCTGTATGCATGTTTGTGCATGCATGTATAGATGGATCATGTATGTGTGTGGATGCACGGATGGACAGCATATTTATGTGTGCA